ATTGCCTTGCGTGACTAACGCCGCTACACACGTACGTTCGGACAGCCAAGGCGTCGAGCAGAGCTTGGCATGTACACAGTACTGCTCTGAAACAGGTCGCAAAACTTTATTGCTTATGGCAACACCAAAAACGCAGTACAGAGTTTATTGCAAAAAGGGTGGCGGGAAAGCAAACGAGGCTCATCCACGCCACTGGCGAGAAGTACAACACATGGTGCCCGAGCACATCTCCATGGCCAAAGGGGGTTCACAGTGACACGCCGCTGAAGGAAACGGTTCCTTGCGACTATGCTGCATTGCTCTCACAATCCGGGACAACAGGGCCCGATTGCTCGAGCGAGAAAAAAATTCACTCGCGTTCGCTTCGGGAGTCATAGGTCAGCGTAGTAGGGCCACGTGCAAACACACTGCAGCGCTCTTCGGCCTCGCATTCGAAAGGGGCTACGAAAGGTGAGAATTTGCCGTGGTAGCAAGGCGATGTTGGGGAAGTCCAGGCGAGCCTCAAACACAGGGAACCGATGGACAGAAAAGAAATGCATGCTCACCCTTCGTCATCCCAGAGAGCTTCTGGCTGACTCCCGACGCAAGCGCGCGTGAAACATCTCGAGAGGCCGAGCGCAGTACCACAGTCGACATCCTGGTGAAAGGGGTCAACGTCACTCCCGCTCTCCTAGAGCCGATTGTTGCAGAGGAGGGGAGGGTCGTGTTAAGACATGATAACAGCAGAAATAGACGACAAAGCCCATCCGATGGCGGCATGCTAGCTTCAATTTCCACAAGCCTTGCTAATGATTAAAAATTTAGGGCAAAGGAATCCAATACAGCCGTCAGACTTTGCAAAGAACTGCATTCATAGGCCTTGTATTGCATGGCAGAAGAGATGATTCACACCAGCAGTGGTGGTCCAACTGCACCAATTGTGCCATTTTGATACCATTCCATATCGCTGTGCCTTGCTGCACACAATTGGGTACAGCTTGCGCCAGAGTTCACTAATCCATCTGTTTGCACGGCATCGGATCATTTATGGCCCAGAAATATTCTTGGTCTGGGAACAAACTCGGCTAGAGCTACTCTATAATTAAGCCAATGCCCTCTACTTGCTCTATACTAGTGATGTGCTTCTTGCTTTTTGCAAGCCTTTTTGTCATTACTCATTTTAGCTTAACGAAAGTCTCTGCGCCACCACATGTGTCTTCATTGTTGAAAGTTTAGCTTGCTATTGATAGTCTCTTCTATTTATTAAGGCATTTATGATAACAAGTAGAAAAGATATTTTTTGCATTTATGACTCACCACTTGCCCTGTAATGTAGCCACCGTGGCCAAGCGGCAACGTATCAGCACTGCACTGTTTAAATGGTGTCTTTTCGCAAATGAAGGTTTGGTTGTGCATAAGCTTGTTCGATATTTGATGGGAAAAAAATAAATGTTTTTTAAATGCACTGCGCGATGTTTTTTGTAAGCGTATTGCAAAATTAAGCTAAATGCCCACGAAGAGCGCAACTGGCACTAGTGCGATTGCTGTTTGTTCATGTCTAAGCAATCGTTGTGTAAACTGACGTAACGCGGTGTCTCACAAAAAAAAAAAAACGAAAAAAAAACCAAGTGATCTCATGCATCTGAACTGCATTAGAACAGTCACTGTTGTCATCAATCAGCTGCAAACAAATATGCCAGACTGATTCCCTCCCACTTGTATAAAATTGTGCTCATTGCGGCCGCTGTTCACAAATCGCACATTGACGAACTTTGAGCAGCACTGCCACGGGAATTTCTCGCTGTTCACGGGCTACCTAACTGCGCCATGCAGTAGATTCGTGAAGTCCACAGTGCAATGCAAAACTGTAAATTATTGATGGGAAACAAACCAGATGTAGTTCCATTAGTCCTTGGAGCTTGCTGCGTAATAATACGTCTTTCCTGCGCCCAGTCTTATGGAAAAACCCTGTCAATTGCAGCTCATTCGAGGGGTGTTAATTGTTGGAGAAAAGGGGGTTTGATTACCCCCCCCCCCCCTGATTTTCTAAAGAAAAAAGGGTAAGTTATACCTTGACGAATATTAAGGTGAAAGATGCGTGAGCATGGAATATCGCTAAATGAGCGTTTCAACAAGTGGACTTGTCTTCTTGCAAAAGAGCATCCCTCCTCTTTATGCTTGGATTGATGACTGACCCCATTTTTTTATACCACTTCATTTTGTACAAGGATTATTTTTTAGAAGACTTTTTCTGAATATTGTGTTCTGGTTTATGGTTCGAAAACCTGGTATTTGCGACAGCAGACAGGTAGAAGGGGACATTCCGCATCATTTGGGGATTGTCCCACCTGTTGAAGTTACGAGGTCAAAGTTTTTTAGCCAGTCTTCAAAGTCGTCAACATGTAGGCCAGAGAACAGCAGAAGAGGCTGCAGTGAGGCGGCAGCGTTGGACAATCCAGGATTGTCTAGAGTGACCCTGGTAGGTGGTGGTACGCAACAACTTGTGTGGAGCATTAGAGAGAGCATGTGAGAGGACTGGGAGAACAAAAGGCACCGTCCACTACTTGTGAGGCACCACTTTATTCATGTCGAGCTCTGGCTCACACGCGATCGTTATATATACAGAGAAGGAAGTTGTGTAAATGATGATGTGCCCAGATGACAAAGAAGAGTCAGTAACTGTACTCGTAATATTTGGAAAATCATGAGTGAGTGCTCAAAACGAAGACTTTGAAAGAGAAAGAAGAGTTACTCGGTGGAGCATCATCCACAGCGAGTTGGGATGATTGTGAAATGCACTATCCATGCAAAAATTTCCCAACAATAAATTTTCATTCACAATGACTTTTCATTATCTTCTTTAATTTTCGAACTGCTATAGTTTCCTGGTCAGCATTTCTCTCTTTTTGACTTTTTACAGAACCCATATGTCCCATGCTTGCCTTGTCACTAACGCTTCACTTCAACACACATATTCTTATTTGCAGTGAAGTCATAATGTTATTTCGTGCTAAGAACATGATTAATGGCTGCTTTTTAGATATTGGCCCTGTGTCCTTGTTTGCATTGCAGCAGCATTTTTTATATGGTCACTATAAACAATATTCACTGAAAATTTTAGAAATGCTATGCTTCAAAACACAGTTCATCCTGCTCCTAACATGCTCCAAAACTGACTCGGGATTCGTAGCGGTCCTTAAACCTGTTGAAAACCATCGATATTTGAAATGGCATTTTCTAAGCCTTGAAAACATATAAATTTGTTTGAGGTCCTTGAAAGTCCTTGAATTTTGTCAAGGGAAGTTTGCTCAGCCGTAATTTAGTGGATTTTCTTGTGCGCCTGGCAGCTCTGTGTTCTTAAGCCAACAAACTATCCAATCAGTTTCTTAAGCCATATTGGAGTGCTGTGGTAGCAATCGTGTTATTACAGCAGTAATGACAGAACTAAGCCTTCCTTTTTTGTGGAAACTGTGCCAGTGTGCGTGCATTTTCGCAGTCGCGTCGCTTATGGTAGAACTATGCCAGGCAAATGCAAATTCCAACAGTCTTATAGAGAGTGGATTGCACTAAATACGTCAAAGTCGCATTGGGCAAAGTGTAAGCTATGTGGGAAAAGCTTTGACATGTCATCAGCAGGGGAGTCTTGCCCTTAAAGGTAACATGAAGAGTACGAAACACATTGAAAGAACAAAAGTGACTACAGTTGATAACATGACTGCATTCGTGGTGCCAACCGTCATTTAGCAGTCTGAGAAAATGGCAAAGAGAAAAGAAAAGACTGGTAAGAGAAAAGAAAAGAGGATAAGAAGTTGAAAGGAAAGCTTCATGAACCTAATCTCTAGTCCACTGCCAAAAAGAGGTTGTCATTATATATATATATATATATATATATATATATATATATATATATATATATGTGTGTGTGTGTGTGTGTGTGTGTGTGTGTGTGTGTGTGTGTGTGTGTGTGTGTGTGTGTGTGCACGCACGCAATATGTCTTAAATTAGTAGTGCAATATGTGTTAAATTATCAAGCAAGCCATAAACATGGTTTTTAAAGCCTGTGATAAACAGAAAAGATGGAGCTAATAAATAATGTTAAATGTTTGTTAGCTAAAAAAAGATTGCTCAAATGTACTTGGTTTTGCTTCTGTGAAATAAAGTACAAATTTTTTTGCTGTAAAAGTTGTCATTTTCAGGAGTTTCAAGTGTTGTTTTAGACCCCGCAGCGGTGGTCTAGTGGCTAAGGTACTCGGCTACTGACCCGCAGGTCCCGGCTGCGGCGGCTGCATTTCCGATGGAGGCGGAAATGTTGTAGGCCCGTGTACTCAGATTTGGGTGGACGTTAAAGAACCCTAGGTGGTCGAAATTTCCGGAGCCCTCCACTACGGCGTCTCTCATAATCATATGGTGGTTTTGGGACGTTAAACCCTACATATCAATCAATCAACCAAGTGTTGTTTTAGGTCTTTGAAAAGTATTTGTTAGATCCGTGAAAGTCCTTGAAAACCCTCGAATTTCGCTTCACTTAGGTGCTATGAACCCTGTGACTTCTTTCTGCTTCAAAAATTGATCCAAATGCTAAACTAGCTGTACGAACGCTGCACCTGACATTTCGCCATGAAAACTGCATAAGCAGGGGGTGCTTTAAAGGTTCTCACCCATTCATCTATATCATCATCAGACACTTCGTGAACAAAATGTGTGGGAATGTATTGCCTGACAGATGCATAGTGGGTACTTTTACACTGCACAAAATGATAAGTCACTTAACTTGCAGTTTACTGCAGCCTGAGCGAATCTTTGCAAAGGCTGCTTCTCTGGCTTACATTGTTGCATGTTTTGTGCAGGCGTGCCGTTGCTTCTCTCTTCGTTTGCCTCGTGTATGCACCTTTTGAGGAGTCACTCTAGAGATGTTGTTTTCATCTTGTACTCAATTTGTTTTTTTTTTTTAATTTTTTTAAAGAATTTTTTTCTGATAAGTTCTTTCTCCTTATCTTTTCTGCAAATGTCGTGCTGTGTAGATGTTCACCAAAAGGAAGGCAGAACGACAAGAGTCTTCTGGTGGAGGGGATGGTGACAAACCAAAGTTTATTCGACCAGAACGAGTGCGCACAGAATCCAAAAGCTACACGCCAAGTAAGTGCCGCATTGCATTTATTGTAGGCCATATGTTGCAATTAATGGGTGTGCTGCTTAATTGTCGTAGCCTTGAGAAAAAAAATACAGGAGAAAGTATATTTTTTAGTGGCAGATAATGTTTCTGTGGTAGCTGTTCTTGAAAAACAACAAGAATTAGTGTGTGGACTCTTGTGTTGGTTGGTATGATTTCATTTTGATTAGGTAGCGCAACACTAAACACTAGGAAGCACATATTTGTGACTGAAATAATTTTAATTTTCAATATACACTTGCAGTTCTTGTACATACTTCAGTTGTTAGTGGAATGAAAATAACAGATGACGTTTACACTGATGCACTTACTGTGAGTCCTACTATTAGTACTTTCCATTTCTTACGTGATGTTGCACATGTGCAAGGATAAACAAGGTAAAAAAAAATGTGTACATATTCGGTAAGTGTAGCGGTAATAATCAGTTGTTAGTGGCACCATATGGTGCTCTCGCCCTCCTCCATTTTTTTTAAGTGGTCATTTATGTGAACGAGGGTGCATCAGTCAATATAATTGCTAGAAATCAGAATATCACACAAAAAACAGCGCGCAACTAGATACATTTAGCGTGCTGTTAACTCATGAAGGACTCACAACAAGAACACACAAGACAAGCGTGAACAAACAGCTGTCCCAGCTCTACGCTTGTCGCACGCTACTTAGGCACAGAAATGGACACTCAAAAAGAATGCACAGGTGCAATACATAAGGTAAGTGTGAACTTGTTGTTGTTGCTATTTTCTGTTTTTGCATTGCTTTTGAATCGCACTGGAAGTGTCGACTGCGCACAACCCAACACTCATAGTTTTTTTTTTTAACTCGGTGCATAGAGAATAGGCTTCAAGATTCTACGCCAGCATGTTTCTTTCCAGCAGTCTCAATCGGACGGAGACAGTGTAGTCAGATGTGGGCATGGCTGACTCCACTTCTGCGTAGCACTGCTCGCCACTGAGCCATCGTCGATGGCTATGGACCATTTTACGGAAGGGTCTGAGTTTCGCCATATATGGCTGTTAGCCTTTGTGTTTTCTATCTTCATCAAATAATTGAACAGTGTTACTATTGTCGCATACACATGAACATTATTAATTGAACAGTGTTACTATTGAAGCTTACACATGAACATTATTGTGCTGATGCATATGATGCATTATGCCCTTATTAATTCATGTCTCAATATGACCCATGGTTGGGTCACACCGGCGACTAGCAGCGGTGGCGAGACCATTTGCGACTGGTCGCAAACAGTCGAAAAGAACTGCTTTGGCTGGTCGCGTCTTGCTCGATTTTCAGTCGTGCAATTGCAGTCGCAAAACTTCTAGAACCAATCGGCGACGCCCAGAAGAGACACCAGCATTTCTATATGCAGGTTTATTTTTTGGGTTTTTGGTTTTTTTTGTTTTTTTATTGCACTGGCCTCCTGTTGCCATATACAAACGAGTGCCTTTCTCTGGGTCTGTGGTACCATGGCTCGAAGCAAAGTGTCGAATTTACGTGGCTGCATTCACAAGAAGCTAAACACCATCACAATAAAAAGAAAATGGATTGTGCACTATCTTCCTTCGTACTTGGAATAGTTTTTTGTCTTGAACTTGACCTGTCACCGCCTTCAATGCAGCACGTTTAACGCGTTTATGCCTCATGCCTTGGCTCCGACTAAATACACCGCATTCGAGACGCATTTGTGCTGCATTGGAGGCTGTGGCAAGTCAAGTTAAATTCAAGGAGCATTTCTGAATACGTACCACTCTCGGGAATACTCCTCTTCGTCTCAGCGCAGCTCGGGAGGTAGGCGGCTTGCATAGCGGGCCAACTCTCGTGTGCGAAGAGATGGTAACACCCACCACCGGCTTTTTTTTTTTTTTAGGCTTCTGTGCTGCCGAGGCTGACACCATGGCATAACGCATTAGCGCCATGGCAATCTCTTATTCTCTGCTTGAATTGAACTCTTGGAAGCTGCTGGGAATGCTGTGCAAGAACGGACAAAAACAATAAATGCAGCGCGCTCGGTTTGCTTCGCTCAATCAGCTGGCAGCGATCAGCTGATCAGCGCCGGTCTATAAAGTTCTCGCTGATAACGAGATCCGGACGTGACTCTCCGGTTTTGCGACTTCCAGTTGCTCGCATACAGCCTCTGCCGGTGTGATTATTAGTCGCTTTTTGGTTGCTAGTCGCAAATGGTCGCGCGACCGGTGCTAGTAGCCGGTGTGAATCAACCTTAACAGCCCAAGATGGCGGTGCCCAGATGTCTCATGTAAAATATTCTATGCATGCGCTAAGGAAGTCACGGCGCTTTTGGTGTGACTTGAATGAGACTAGAAAAATTGTTTTGTACCAATGTATAATGTACCACTGACTTGGGAATCACAGCTTATCGTGTACAGCAGCAAAAATCGTGTTAGAAACCACACAAAAATAAAGTAAGCACGCAGCGCTGACATAGAAATGTCCTCTCAATTGCACAGAATGCCAGCACCACATCTACCCAAGGTAACCGCTCAATCAATGTAAGCAACGATAGCACATTACTGAGAAATATGGGTGCTCACTAAACCGATCAGACTTATAACTCTGCATCAGACATGCTTTCTTCTTGGCATGTCACTGCCTACGCCGGTGGTGCCATGGCCAGACACAACGTTCGCCAGACAGACCTGTCGAGAAGGCAAAATCTGTGCTCGCTTAGTTTTCTAGCCTTTCTAGCACAATGCTTAGTGCTGTCCCGTTGGTGTCCTGTGTTTCCCTTCCAAACTACATTAGATTTTTCTTGCTCGTGTGCCGCTATTTGTAGATGTGAAGTGCATGCCCGCTATCTATTTATATTTTTCTTTGTGTAAGTGAAATAATATTACACCGATTGTTCTTGGTAAACATCAAGAAGCTCATACTGGAGGAGAAATGTCAACTGCTGATGTAAGAGTGCATTGTGTGTTGTCGCTTATTTTTTTCCTTTTTTACTGTTAAGGACTTGCAAAGTGATCCACCCTGGTCATTATAAACAACATTGTGATATACATAAATTTATTTTTATTAATTGAAGTAACGCTGCAATGGATTTTTGAATGTATTTAGTCAACTTCACCGTGATTGTATGGTGAAGTTGACTAAATACATTCAAAAATTCATTGCAGCGTTACTTCAATTAATAAAAATAAATTTATGTATATCACAATGTTGTTTATAATGACCAGGGTGGATCACTTTGCAAGTCCATACAATCACGGTGTTCCCGAAAAATGGTTAGCACTTCATGGTTGCCTGAATGGAAATTAGATAGCATAGAGTTCTCATTTTAGCTGCAACCCATCTAATAACAACCTAGGCCTTGCAGGACACTACAATACAATCTAAGCCATCAAACATCCATTTGATAGTTGACTTCCTCACCCTTGTCTAATGTGTTTTTTGTATAGTATGCTGCACAACCACCTCCAGGATGAAAAATCACTGTTTGTGTCACATTATTTGTTTTTTATCATGCTTATCTATTATTGCACATTGTGTTTATGAGTGTACATACATAGTTATCTCATTGGTTCTGTTCTACCTGTAAAGCATCCTAATTTTTTTCCCTTTTTCTTCCTGCTATTATTGCGGCTGCGGCGATGGCGTAGTGGTTAGAGCATCCGCCTCGCATGCAAGAGGTCCGTGGTTCAAATCCCGGTACCGCGCAATTCCCAACCGTATTAAAAAAAAAAAAGAATCCGCATGTTGATGGAACTGCATTAAGAGGCCTGGGGTGCGGCCTCACCGGCAAACACCGCCGAGAACGCACTCCCTCACCAGAGAAGGATTGGCCACCCTGGTGCAGTATCTGGCCACTACCTCCCACATGCTTACGTCAAATAACTCACGGCCCTCAGTCCCCAGCAGCTGCGAAGCAACTGACCACGGCGGCGGTCAGATCTGCAACGCAGCAGAGGGTGCTAAGAATCTCTGGATCCGGACAGGCCGCCATTGGAACCTGAACTTGGCAACGTTTAATGCTAGAACCTTATCTAGTGAGGGAAGTCTAGCTGTACTATTCGAGGAGCTAGAGGGTGTTAAATGGGATATAATAGGGCTCAGGGAGGTTAGGAGGACAGATGAGGCCTATACGGTGCTACAGAATGGGCACGTCCTTTGCTACAGGGGCTTGGCAGACAGAAGAGAACTGGGAGTGGGGTTCCTAATTCACAGAAACATAGCTGGCAACATAGAGGAATACTATAGCATTAATGAAAGGGTGGTAGGTATCGTAATTAAACTGAATAAAAGATACAAGATAAAGGTAGTACAGGCTTACGCGCCTACATCCAGCCATGATGACGCTTCAGTTGAAAGTTTCTATGAAGACGTGGAATCGGCAATGAGTAAGGTAAAAACACAGTATACTATAGTGATGGGCGACTTTAATGCAAAGGTAGGGAAGAAGCAGGCTGGAGACCAGGCAGTAGGAGATTATGGCATGGGATCTAGAAACGCCAGAGGAGAGCTACTAGTAGAATTCGCAGAACGCAATAATTTACGGATTTTGAATACCTTCTACCGAAAACGAGAAAACCGCAAGTGGACATGGAGGAGCCCTAATGGCGAAAATAAGAACGAAATAGACTTTATAATGAGTGCACACCCTGGAATCGTGCAGGATGTGGAAGTGATTGGCAAGGTACGATGCAGTGACCATAGAATGGTACGGTCTCGAATTCGCCTAGACTTGAAGAAGGAACGACAGAAACTGATACGCAAGAAGCCAATCAATCAGCTAGCACTGAGAGGGAAAGTACAGGAATTCAGAGTGTCGCTGCAGAACAGGTACTCGGCTCTTAGTGGGGAAACCAACCTTAGCGTAGATACAATGAATGATAATCTGACGAGTATCATTAGGGAGTGTGCAGTGGAAGTTGGAGGCAGGGTAGTTAGACAGAACACTGGCAAGCTTTCCCAGGAAACGAAGAACCTAATTAAGAAGCGTCAAATCATGAAA